AACTCCATCTACAATTTCAATTTCTTCATCCAATTCTATTAATTCATTTTCTGGTGATACCACCATTGCTTCATTCGTTTTGAAAAAAAATGAAGCTGAACATTATGAATACATTACTACATCTATAGAACAATGGTGTATTCAAAATAAAAGTGCATTTGATTTTCGTAATTTTAATTTTATTTGTGGTATTGACTATCATTTGAAATTTAACTCGTCTCTTGACAAAGCTGATATCGTATGCTCGTGTGGTTTGCCATCTTCTCTGTTTCTTGCTGAATCAGGCAACTTCAAGGTAAAGTTTTTTTAATAAACTTATTGTATCAACAAGTATTCTTTTCGGTTCATTGAAAAGAAGCCTTGTCCCATGATAGAGTTTGAACATTTTAACTTTAGACACGTATTACTTAACTAATTTCTTTGATCATTATCACAAAGGGTAAAATAGATATATTTTTTTCTAGCAAATTTTTCAAAGTTAGGCTCATATGAACAACTTGCTCACCAATACGTACAAAAAAGTATCAATGGAAGTTTTTTTTTTCTTTAATAGATATCGAATTATTTTCGTCACCTGAAAACAACCTGTTCTATCATTCGACACAAATCTATTAATAATTCAACAGATCATGAACAAATTGGTGATAACACTGTTATCTCTCGAGATTCATCTTCATTTTCATCATCACAACAACCATCTACGAATTCTATTCGAAAACGAGCACGGCAAACAACAGCCGTTAATGTAAACAAGAAAAAGATTCGAACAACATAGATATAACTGAATAGTCTCTTAGATGCTATATAATTTTTTTTTTATTTTATAACTTTGATTTTTACTCATGTTAATAATGTGTATTTACTGTTTATAATTAGTTTTCTTATAGGTGCTTAGAAGAATTTATGAATAAAAGAGAAAGTGTCTTTCTGTGAAAGATATAATAATAGTGTACAATAAAAAAAACGAAAGCTTTTTTTTCATTCTTGTACTTATAATTGTAGTGAATAAAATAAATTTTTCACCCGCTTGCCGTCATTTTTTCAAGTATGCAAGTTGTGACAATATCAATATCACTTCTCGCTGACCTTCCTTTCCTATTCTCTCTTTATCTTATCACTCTATTGTTCTTTCCTGCGCTCATCTTTCTCTGGAAAAAGAAGAAGAGATGAGCCCAGAACAGAACAATAGAGAAATAAGATAAAGAGGGACGAAGAAAGAAAGGTCAACGAGAGGTGATATTAATATCGGCACACAAGTGACTGGCCCTATATATGTTCATGTTATATTTTTACATTCATTTAAAAAGATAACATGACTGAAACATCGCTTTCAATTCCAAATAATGTACTCGATCTTCGAGATAACGATTTTTTTAATTTCATCGATCAATTTTGTGGTCAAGATGTCGTCGAATATTTTAAACTTCTTGGCGTTCGTTCTGTTAATTCGCTCCTTGGAATTGATGATATTTTTTTACCATTACAAGAAGACTATCTCGAATTAGTTGATATGAAGAAAAAATTAACATTTCGTCGTTCCGATGGCAGCTATGTAATCAAGATTGGAATTCAGCATGACATTAATAAATTAATGAACAGTCTTCGAAATGTATTAATTAACAAAGGACAAATAACAAGTGGTCTTGACAATGAAAATGAATTAATTTTGATACGAGAAGTTCTTCGACAATATCCGTTTCTTAAACGTCTAATTGATTTCTACACCACGTTATCACAAAACCCTGATTCGACTAATGATATTTTTCTTCATCATTTCCTCGACAATCTTTTTTCAAATTTACCTACAGCCAAAAATCGGCATCGTTATCAAGAAAATATACTTGATTTTGCACTTTGCATGTTTATTTTTGCAGGACGCAATGCTTATGAATTTTTACGCCTTAATATGCCTGGTGCATTGCCTACTTTGACAACCATTCAAGCAAAATTAGCAAAAGAAGGACTTCGTGCATTAGAAGGTGAATTTCGTTACAATGATGTGATTAAATATATGTCTACAATTGATTTAAAATTTGCATTTTGTGCTGAAGATTGTACTACTGTACAACGAAAAGTTGTTTATGATACTCGATCGAACTCGTTTGTGGGTTTTACGCCGCCACTCGACGAAAATGGTATGCCACAAATGAACCATTTCCAGACAAACTCTATCGAGGATTTAAAATGTTGGTTTGAACAGGAAGATATTTCTAATTTGCTCAACCTTTACATGATTCAACCAATACATAATAACAATCAAAAAATTTCTCCTTATGCACTTTCTGCATATGGAACAAATGGGAAGTACACTTCGTTTGATATTATTCGCCGTTGGTTTACAATTTTTGAAGAAAGCTCAAAACAAGGTGTCCGAATCTTAGGTTATTCAACGGATGCCGATCCCCGATATTTATTGGCTATGAGATTAGTCTCCGGCTTTTTTACCATCTTATTGAATAGTCCAACAACACAACACTCTTTATTATTAACAGTTGATATACCGAAGTCTTGGTCATGGTATTTTTTACCGGCTCAACAACTATTCTTGTGTATGCAAGATTCGATTCATATTTGTACGAAGCTTCGGAATCGGCTTCTATCAACGACAGCTGTTATGATGATGGGAGATGGCTTAGTTACTATTGATTATTTGTTACGACTCATCGAATCACAATCAAAATTCAATCATAACTTGGTTAAATCAGATGTTTGTCCACGTGACAAACAAAATTTTAGATCATGCGAAAAATTATGTGGTGCAATAGAATGTTTACAAGAAATCAATGGTTCACATGCAACAGTCGTATATCTTAGTATTATTCGTTGTGTTATTAGAGCGTTCATTGATTCATCATCACCAACATCGGATCGAATTTATTATGCTTGGCTAGCAGTCTTCATATGTCGTTTATGGAGAACATGGCTTGATTTAGTACCAAAACAAGATTTAGATAATCGTATATCACAAATGGCTAATCTTTCTGATATTGCCAAAGATAAATTCAAACAAAAAGCCACTAAAAAAATTTTCTTTATCACATCATCAACATTTTTATGTCTTGAACTTAATGCACATCATCTCACTTATCTTACATTACTAGTTGCTGAGAGACAGCTACCACCTGAAACATTGAAAATATCACTATTCAGTTCTCAAACATGTGAAAATTTTTTCCGATTGGCACGATCAATGTCTGGAACATTTTCTACGTCTGTAAATTTTTCTGTTCAACAATTTCTGAATCGTCAAGAAAAGATTTCAATTTTAAATTCTATTAAAACGCAATCGAATTCATCATTTCCATCTACAAAATTCGTGTTTCCCAATCACCATAAAACACAACAAGATCATAAACATTCAATTATACAACCTGAAAAAATGACAAAACAACAAATACAAGAACAAGTTGATCGTGCTTTTAAAGATGCATTTACTCTTTTACTTCCTTTAGGTGCCAAAGAAGTGTTGAAACAAGCAAATATTGTTACTATGAATCAAGTAAGTCAACATATACGCAATGATTTAAATAAATCGAAAAAAAAAGAAAATTTTTCTGTACCAATTACAATTGATGAATGCAGTAATCAATCTGATTCAGATTCTGAAGAAAGTATTACACAAGAAGATGAAGAACTTCAACAAAATGAATTATATTCATGGGATGACGATGCCAACATCGAAAATGAAATCGAAGATGACAGTGGCATTAACACATTATCACATACTATTAACACTCGTTTACAATCTATGAAAGGTGTGCGTGACACTATCAATCCTGACTTAAAAGATTCATACTTCTTAGTCAACATTGATGGACAAAGAAAATATCTTCATAAGAACACTGCTATTTGGTATTTGACTGATGAAAAACATAAATTGTCATCGGATCGTTTAAATCGTGTTATGGAAAACTAGTAAACTTTTTTTTTAATAAAGAAATTGAAAAAAATATCTATACTGTTTAATTCAAATTGTTTTACCATTCTATAAACTTCATGGATAACATTTTATTTCTTACTGGCTCGAAAATTTCTTTATTTAGTTATATTTTTTCAAATGTCTAACAGTACTTGGAGTCATTGGCAACTTCTTATAATCAATAGAGCCATATTGAATCAATAGAATCACATGAAATCAAATGAAGTCACGTGGAGACAACAGAGTCACTTAAAACCAATCAGAATCAATGGAATCACAGAATCGGCTTTTCTCCCTTGCTTCACTGACTCC